CTATCGAATTCTGACAGGATCAATCACATTTTTGTTATTGCATTCAACACGGTTGGGTTGGTTTGTAAATCCAGTTTCAATCGCTTGTTAAACACGTTCTCTGCATTTGTATGACGGATACAAAGATCATTAAGATGATTTGTGCTGCAACCCAAACGGCTCAGGGACTATTCACATCCAGAACGGACTAGTGATATTAGCACATATAGGTGGTTCAGACAGACAACGGACCAATGCACAAAGACGATGAGGAAAGACAAGCTTCAGTATCAGATAACGCAAATCGACAAATTTGTTCCCATTCCGAAAATCTTATTTGTCATACAGCCTCTTTTCACTAAACCTAAACCGGGGTTTCCCAATTGCAAGGTCCCAAGGGCTCAACCAGTGACGATGGTGATATCTATGACCATCTGACAGAACGGTATTTTCAAACATTTCAACCGTCTTGTACCCTCTCTATCGACGAGAAATTCACTTGCAACCCAACAGAACTCTCAGAAGTGGACCTGAGTGGTGAATTGGTGTATCAGAACGTGCACCACATAAACAAGGACACTTTTCCTGGCCCAAGCATGGTTTGTTCTACTGTACTATGGGAAGCGTCTAAAATCTCGGCAGAACCGCTTAGTGCGACGTCATGTCATGCTGAGACGTGATACTGGAAAAATGGGTGACGGTCTAGCTGACGCAGAGAACATTCAAGCTAGTGTTATATAGAACCTTTGGAACGTATCTAAAGATGAGCCACGAAATTAGTTCGGGGATCAAATTCAAGCTCTATGTAGAGGGTCTCAAATCATCCATTAGAGTATAGGCATCTTTAAGGTGACCTTCTAGTGACTTAGAGAAGGTTGAACACTTATGGACATCCCCTTAAATACCTACTTCATCTCAGGCCCAATCAAACTTTGGGGTAACAACCTGAAACCGGAACAGAATGAGGGCACATTTTATACTCCTTAAGAGTATTCAAATGCCGGAATTCGCTACCGGTTGAGACAGTTCGAATGACTTCCACGGAGTCCTTCAAAGGAAAACCTGATATATTCTTAAGGACTAAGGACAGTATCTTGCCATAATCTATCAATGTTTTTCCCCTTTCATCATCAAGTATACCTAGGTTCTTACCCGGCAGCATCGGTGATTCACTGTCAGCAGATATAGAAGCCCACTAAGTGAAAGCTCCTTCTATTCCGTTCAAAGTCAGTTGAACCATTTTGAACCTGGCTTGAAGGTTTTGAAGAAACTGTAGCTTATAATATTGTAGTGTGGCGTCGAGTCGCGGTTAAATATGATCACCACTACAAGAAGGTTGCGTACAAGATATCAGAAGGCGATTGGATGTCGTAGCGAGATATATTTGTTGGCGATCTCGTGGTATCGAAAGAATATCGAGATCGTGCCAAAAGAGTACAAGCGGAATCACTGAGCAGACGTAAGCGCGTGCATGGTCACGATCAACGGAAGGAAGAATGTCTTTAATACAGTCAAACGAACAAGTACGGTAAAACAACCACTGGTACAATTGGTTATAATAATAATTGTTTCCATTAAGCCAATCGCGTTCTCTTGATAAAAGTAGATCTCTACACTATTTTCAGGCATCAGCTTGTTGAGTGCAGATTTACTGAAGACAACCCCTGATTCTCTCTCGTTTCGATAAAGACAGGTTTATGGTTTGATAATTTAAGCTGAAAGTTAATAAACCAAGATTTTGAATGCTTACATTGTACTGTAGGACATACGCGCTTCCAACAAATTTAACATTGTCAAGGTCATCCCTCAGCTGGTACGTCCTACGAGAGGGGGTATTATTATCCACTTTTCTAGGGCAATTTATCCTGGTTTTCACTGAGAAGTTGTCTGTTTGATTAAAACTATCTACAAAATTAAAGTTTCAACAGTATTTTAAGGTACAGAGGTTTTGTGTAATTTCGACTTATAGCATCCTTAACACTTCTGGACATCCTCTTAAACACCTACTTAAGCTTAGTTCGCATAATAACCTAAGGGGTAACACCCAGAAACTGGAGACACAACATAGCGAAACGGAATGTAGACATAACTTCTACTCCTTAAGAGCTGTCAAAAGCTGGAATTCGCTGCCGGCCGAGCTAGTCCAAGCGACTTCTCAGGAGTCCTTCAAGAAGCAACTTGACCTATTCTTAAGGACCAAGGAAAGCATCACACTATGATTTACCGATTTCTTTTCCTCTTTTAGTGTTAACTTACCTAGGTTCCTGCCTGGAGGATTTGGTGATCCCCTTCTACTAGACACGGAAGCCTGTTAAGCGAAAGCTTCTATTCCGTCCACAACCATTTGAACCATTCGACACAGGATTGAGCTGTACTGTTCGGGTTGCGGTGTCGAAACCTGGGTAGTTTCTGGTTCTGCTGAAAACCACCGGTAAATTACGCTGGCCTAAAAGGATATATTTGTACCATCGTGAGTTTGTGAGGGCGCTTTTGGAATATGGGGTTCAATATGCTAGTCCTTGTTTCAAGTATGCATATTTCATGCTTCAGGAAGCAGATACACCAGGACGAGTTCAGTGACGAGTGACCGAAACGATGAAAGAACTCTTCGGCCTATTATATTAAGACAAACTGAAACGCTCCAACCCACTTACATTGTTTTACCCTAAGTTACGGGGGTGATTCTAATCAACTCGTATTAATTATTACTGGCTTACCGTTTACTGGACGTTTATCTTGTAATTAATATGTCTTGTCTTTTCCTTCCATTTAGGAATGATTATATGAGGAGAGACTTCAGGAAATTTCAAAAACTGAGATCAAATATCTACGCCTGGAACTCCGTTTCTCGCATCGAGCAGTGATTTGTTACAATCCTCTCACAGGACACGTAATACCAACACCTTTTGATCCATTCAAAGCACGACCGGATCTCCACAGCACTACAAGCTACAAGAATTAATATAGGTCGGCTGACCTATTCTTACTACTGAAGACTAGTTATCACGTAAACCACTTCCACAAGACTCAGACTGCTAGTCCTTGGTAAGACCTGTTCATCGGTATAACTTCTGTTTGTTACAAAGTCGGTACTCCGCAGTTTCTTACGTGTATACACACATTGCTGCCATGCAAATATAGTCGTAATATCTACCTTTTTAGCCTGGAAATCGTCATTTAAGCTGTCGAAAGCGGAATTACTACATTACTTAAATTAATGTGTTGATAGGCAGTGCTAATACATCTAACTTTTGAAGGATTATTCCAGTCATCTACAACAAGATATCAGGAACAGACTTTCAAGAGCAAGCAATCAAATATTGGTTTCCGAAATTTCGTAAGATTGTCCTGTCAGGAATTTAAACGTCAAGAGAACCTCCTTTGAAACGCATCTTCCAAAAGCCCCTTCTTGTTTTGCTCGGCTCAACCTGTACAACTCGAAACATTTCCCCTCACTTAAGAAATTTCGGGAAAAATTCACACTATTCAGGGATGCGTAAAAAGGAGACAATTGGATCCATTGTCACCTATATTCACACTGACTTTAAGGATTTTCTCTGGGATTTTCCCAAAGTTCGCCTTTGTTCTCCTTTTTTGTTTTCTTGAGGTGTTTAAAATTTTGGTTTTTATGATTTAAGACTATAAGACAGTTGGTACATATAGTTTGTTACTCTAGGTGGGATTATTCATAATCGATTATCAATACAAATGACTACTGTATCTCATTTGAAGCTATATATATATAGTCAATGTCCTTAGTTTTCTCCTATTTGGAAAGTGTTAGATTTTACATACCATATTAAAAGATCCCACACAATCTCCTAATCTGTAAAAGCATCCATAGATTTTAACAACTTAGTTACTGCTTTCTAGCTTGTCCACTCTTCGGGAATAAGTAGTGCAAGATTCGTATGTGAAGATTTTGTCCTATCAACCCATTAACGAAATCCCATCAAACAGTTTTCTTGTTAATACACCTCATCTATTTATCAAATAGCTGTGTGTCTGGACTTTTTTATGTTCTTTGTGTTCACATTATCAAATAAAATTATTTCAAGATACCAAATAGAGTTGATTTATTTGTACTAAAACACCAAATTACTTTCATTAGTAACAACGATTTTAGGCAAACCTCTTGCTCACCATCTAAAAGCTCGTAGGTCTCTTAGTTTGAGCACACTGCATTGGGGATGTTTGGATAGTTTTATCATGTAAATTTACAAACTATAGTTTTTACGCCATCCTCTCCAGTTTTGCCTCACGTGACCTAGTATAGCGCCGTTGACGTGCAATTTAAAATACCTGACTTAAGAATCCGTGCATCGTAGTTAGAAATGAGTAATTATTACGTTTGTTTAGCACGTTTTTGATCGCTGTTATCATAGTTGGTTTCAATAATACTACTAGTACGTATTCCCATGTACTAATATCTCCAAAAATGATTTTGCAGGAGAGATTACTGTCTACGAGAAGTCATCTTATTTAAGTGAAAAACCTGGGCGATATTGTGATTTCAAAAGATCATAGATGTTCTGCCCATGCATTTAACACGCACTTTCATTACGTGTCGTTTTTCGGTTTACTTCATGTTTATAGTCAACTGAAGAGATAATACTTGAAACGTTTCCCGCGAGTAAATTGTCTGTAAAATTATTTATATCGAAGCATATAATTGTTATGTTCTTCTACCTAGTCTATTGTTCTCACTCATTTAAAGTTATGTCGCTAATGTATCGTAATGGAAGTGACTGCAACTAATAATTCATTCATGACCAGTAAACACTTTACTTTTATGATGAAACTCGGGCCGTTATAGCTATAATTTCCCTAAAATAATATTTGTAATTTTATTTCCCGTAATATTTTGCGAATTCCAAATGCTATGGTTTGTTTTTATGAATTTTTTAATCTGTTCGTTACTTTGTACCTTACATGTTAATCTCACGTATGTCTTTGCTCATGAGATTCATTTTCTATTTAATGATAGCTAAACATCACCTCAAAATAACGTACTTTAAAGAATGCCAGGCGGTTATATTCCCGGTCTTCCACCTATCTACCCTAATAGTTGGATCTCTTCAGGAATATCTAACATGTCTCGCCTAGAATCTGCTGACTCAAATTGCACCTATGGAATTCACTGGATATGGGTTTCAATGGGACTGTGTGTTATGGATATTCAAGGTGGCATAGCCTTATTTTGTGGAGTTCTATGTTTATTTCTTTGGATTGCAGTAGGTATACCTCAAATTGTTGAGAATTTTCGAACAGGAATTGCAGACAAAGCTCTTTCTCCTAGTTTTCTTTGCTTTTGGACTTTCGGTGATGTCTGTAACCTGATAGGTTGTTTTTTAACACATCAACTAATTATGCAGGTCCGTTCAGCTAGTTTTATGATATTTAAAATCCAATGTAGTCTACGTATACTATGCAAATGTAAACTGTATAAATCTTTTTCTCATAAATGTACTTTTTTGGTCGAGAATCTACTGATTTTATAAATTTAAGTACTGGTTTACAGTTTGTTAAATATTCTGATTCTTAACGACTACTTTTGTTACATGCATACGAGGGTTTTCATTTTGTTAATAAATAGTAGATCGATATTCAGTGAACCTTGCTTCATATCCCAGAGTCATACTCCTAAACTCTTCTCTGCCTTGTACATGAATTTTCATGTGTTTACAGCATTGCGTCAATATTTACCACAACCTGATGGCTGATAAGTTTATATATTCATTGAACAGTCTGCGTAATATTGATAAGTTTTAGCACAAAATAAAGCAATTAACTAGTGCTACCTAGTTTTTAGAACTTTGATGTTTAATCGCTTATCCTCTATCTTTTGAATTACTGTTGTACCTTCAGTTAGTCAGTCAGTAACAACGTAGAACTTCGTACGTACGTACATCAGTTCGAGTTGCCACACCATATTAGCACAGAGATGCAGTGGTTGATTCAAATCCCGTAGTGCTAGATGTGGTAAAATTATAAGCTGTAATCAGAAAAATTAGGGTTTGAAGATGTTATTCAAGGAGTATAATCCAGTGAAATAAATTTGGAAATAATACCATTGAGGAAGTCTGGTAGTATCGTTGGCCCTCGGGTTACAATGTAGTTTACACGTCAGTTTATGGGTCTGGGGTTCTTTTTAACCACCAATGATATGTCATAATTATGCGACTGTAAACCTAAAGAAAGGTAATCACCAATTTTATACTAAATATCATGGCAAAAAGTTGTTATTTCACTGTTCATTTGATTTTCGCATTAGTTTTAGCTTTGTCTTATGGTAGGAATTCCATTACCTTTGGCCATTTTGCTTAGAATTCAGTGTAAAAGGTATCTGAATGGTTATTGAGTAGAAGTATCCATCCCAGGGGTAAACCGGGTTGTTTTGAGTAGCTTAATAAATGAGATTTTATGAATCTCTTTCTTGTGTGGTTCTGGTGCATCACTTTTTGGTGTTTTTGTCCTGTTCTAGAGATTTCGATGAGTAGAGTATATCCGATATCAATCTTTTGAACTAAAGCGTTCAAGCTATGGAGAAAAATAATTCGTCAATGTCACATCTTAAACTCTACAGATTTCTTAGTTCTTACGCGAAAAAAACAGTGTTTTATCGTCTAACAAATTGCGATTGTGTTTTTAGTATTGTTTTAAAATTGTGCGAAATGTATCAGTAGGTAGTTGTGTAAGTGTTTATAGGGTGATATTTAGTCCCGCTGTATCTGACTTGAACTTCATTAACTAATAAAAGATATTAGTGCTTAATGAATGACCAACATACCGTTCTCCTATCGGGCTCTGAAAAGTTTGTTCTATTTTCGACTTATATTCCTTTTTGCTTTAATTTTAATGAACAATTTAAGGATTGCAAATTGCTTACACTTTACAGATTGTTGTGACAGGGTACTGTATTGTTAGTGACTTCGTCCTTGTGTTCCAATTCATCTATTACAAACATCGTCATAAGGCTATCTTACGTCGTAAGTTCAGTGTGACTGGGTTATTGGAAGTTTTCTTTTTTCTGTGCATGATTCACATAAACTTTTGATTTGTCAATTTGCATGATGAAATGTACACAAATATATGTTTTCGTTATTCACATTATATTTGCATTTATTACTTGATTGTTTAGAAGGATTCTTACGGCGATAAATACCATACTCATCCTTTATTGTATCTTAGCAGTTCGTCAGCACCTATTCACATGTAAATAAGGGAGAATACAATATCACTTTGGGCGGTATAGTATGTGAAGATGGAGACTGGCGAGAGGGGATTTAACAGCAACCCAGTGTAGGCATGAAGATGAAAAATGGTATATTTGTTTGACACTACCTCCAGCTTGTATAGTCCGTTAAAAATAAGATATGCTATTTATTCTCTGAATTTATCTGTAGCGACTAAGCTAGTAAAAACAATCATTAATTAATCACTGTTTCGAATCTCATTGTGATCTTAACTTATTTGAATATCAATCTTAACTGTCTAAGTAGTATCAAGATAGTAACTGTTAAACCATAGTAACACCTTTTCATGCTTAATTGATCAATATGTTTTGTTTGAACGTGTATAAGGTTGACAGGAATTATTTTATGGTTAAATATATATGTTAAATTTGCTTCCTGTTTATCGTAAAGATATATTTTTCATTAGGAAGAAATTCGTCTAGTTATGTTTTATCTGATGTGTCATGCAGAAATAAGATTCGCTATTCTTTTTATTATACTCTAATGAAACTAAGCTTTTCAACTAATAATTATATTTGGGAAAAATATCAGTCATTACCACTGAGGAATGGCAGGATTATTTTGTACGAAATCATATATTGGTATGGTTACGGGTTCACAAAGGCTTACTGTTTTACAAAAATTCAACCTAGGTCTGTGATTATTTCAATATGCCAAAAATTGATTTTTAAGCATTTAATTCGTCGAGAAAATAGTTCAATTAGATAGTTTAGTATTGGCTACAACTCAATGTTAACGTATTTATTTTAGTCCTAATGAGTGGTTGTCTCAGCTTGAGACAAGATTGTTGAATTTGGTGTCAGCTCAGATCGTTGTGATGTCGTGAGTTCTGTTTTATTTATATAACATGCTTCAGCGACTGACCTCAGCATGCACTACACTTAACTGTCGATTACCACCAACCGTCTACAATTAGTTACTGCTAACAGTTTTAAGTGTTCTTATTAACTATTCGAAAGGCTTTTATCTGAAAAATCTTGTCGTATTGAGATGATTTTATGCAATTATGCAAAATTTTTAGTACGCGATCAAAACTGGTGTTCATCAAAGTAAAATTAAAAGTTTAAACAATAGGTATATGGGTCATGTAACTTTTTAATCTGTCTGAGTTTTCGATAAAGGCATGATTTTTATGAGTACTCACCAAGGTTAGACAATAACATAAGGTGAGATTAGTTTATGGACGACCTTTGGGCGACGCTAAAGTGACCTTAAGAGTACCTACCTACTAATTAGAATCACATGTGGGTTATAATACGGTGTGGGAAATTAGAATTATGATTTACAATTGATGGTTAGGGTTATAAACTAGATTTAGGATTTTCGCCAAGAACTGACATAAGCTAAAATACCAAAAGGCTATTTAGCCAAATGGATGAATAAATTTCGTGCCAAAATTCAACACCTGTTGACTTATATCTGATTGGTTCATCCATAAATTATAATCTCTTCACTCTTATTAAACATGAATATACGTAAAGTTTCTCAAAGCTGTATCGAGAGCATAAACAGTTATAAAACATAGTAGTCAAACTAATGGTTAGTTTTACTGAGAATTGTATATTTAGGCATCCAAATTAACTTTTGTAAATGAATACTCTTTTTCTTATTTCCATGAACAGTCGCTTAAAATCTCAAACTGAATTAATATTAATTGTTGAATAAATCTAATTTTCCTGCATAGAAATGCGCGTTGAACAATCCACACTTTTGATACTAATTAACAAAGCAGAAGAAAATAACAGGGAAACAAAAAAAAACAAAGATGACAGTTCTCACACTTTGATCGTTTCCAAGCCCATGAATTGTCTCTGTGGCTATTCTCTTATCCATTCGCATTGCAATTTTTTCTCCATTGCCATATCAACTTCATGATGTTGCACAACATTTTATCTAGTTAGTGTTCAACAGTTACTGCATATATACACCAATCCTCCATAAAATTACTTTTTTGTTTCAGGAATGGCTACAGCTTTAAAAGATGGTGAAGTATCTTCGAACTCAAGCTCTTCTTCTCCCATTATTTGTGACGAATCGGAACAACATAATTCACATCAAGGATATCAAAGACTTTCAGTTGGTTTAGTTGGTGCAGGATGTTTAACTTTGATGGGCATTTCTTTAACTTCTATCGAGAATCCGTTTAATACTTATGTTATTAAACAATCAGTATCCAGTGGTTTACACTACCAATCAAGACAGTTATTGGAGTGGAAACAATATGAATCAACAGATCATCCATTCATAACTTCAGATCCTTTAAATGTAAGTTTTTAACTTGAACATTATGGTTTTCCGGTCATATATAATAACATTGTCCAATCTTTTAGATAGCCTTTTCAAAACAGGAGATTAGCTTGTTGGGAGGAAATGGATTATCAACTTTAAGATGGTGAACAGCACATATACTTTGTTCTTAATGATCATTTAGCTTTCTCATGTTTTTAGTTTGCGTTTTTCATATTCTAAGAAAGGTATTTGTTGGCGATCATTTAGCTACGAAGTTCAACAAATAAATTACTTGTGCTTGACAAAAGATCTCACGTGACCTAGTCTTTTTTCTTACTTGTTCACCTCACCGATAATGTAAGCAGAATGGTACAAGGTGGGTAGAAGCAGCTAAAGTGGCTTCGTATCGATCCAAAATCACTTAGACTAGTGGGTACATTGCAACCTGATCGATAAAATTCGATCATCACGTTGGGCTGGGTAAACATGAATTTGCTTACTTTCCTGTGGCTAATCAATGCAGAATGATGCCAATGTTTATTTGTGTGTAATGCATTCATAAGAAATGTGAGATAAAATAATGTTTCAGCACGGGTTTAGATTTCCACGTAAATGTACGATAAAAGCAGTTACTTTTGCTCCTATAGTCTGGTGACTATAACCTTTCGACAAGAATACAGAAATGCTAGTCAGGGTTTCTCAACTATAGTGATAGTTTTCATCACAAATAGTGAAATCAACTGGGAACTACTTAAAACCATAGAACATCGGACAGCTGTTTGGTCCCAGTTTGAAACTCCTCAACAGCATGTGTGTATAAAATCATTCAGAAGAAATCCCAAAGAACTTCAGTTCTTCTGACCAGTATACAGCTTTTAGACTACCTTGATCAAATGTGACTGTAACAAGATATCCAAATGTCTGTCGAAGGAGAAAAACCTCATAAAAGTGTGTCTTATTTTCTGCGACATATGTTCAAAAAATAAATACTATATGCATTTAAATTGTCCAGATTTATTTTGAGAACATAGTTTCCGTAAACATAAGAAGCTAAAAAGGTGACAGTTGTTAAAGTCCAGCTACAGATCTGTTCGGCAAACCAAGGTATAGTAATAGAATACAGTGATTGAGGCTAAGATTAGTTTGCCGCTCAATCATACTTCAGTAATTCGATAAGGATCTACTATTCCTTATAATCCCATCCCCGGTAAGATTTTGAGTGTTTCCTTTTGGAAATTTCTTCATCAAAACGAACCCCCCTCTACATTGCTTCTTAATTTATTTCGGTGGTTATCCGTTTCATATTAATCCGGTACCATCAAAATAAACTTTTAGAAAGGAAATAAAACCTTTGCTCATATAAGTGTTTGTTGTTAAATTTTGTACCTGTTACAAGCGTTATTATTTTGCGATACTGATCTCGTTCCTAAGTTTATTGTCGCAAAACTCTATTGATGATTTAGAATTTTGTACTTGAGAATCGTACAAAAAAGTATTATTTTTTTAGTACACTTATATAATGAATAATAATCTTAAAAGTTATATCATTCATCAAACCTTATTTCGGTTTTGAATTTTTTGTTTTATTCAAAATAGGGTGGTACAATTATATTGGGATATATTCTTGGGTGGATTTCCACATCCATGTACCTGTTCTCTCGATTGCCACAATTATTTCGCAATGTATGTTTAATTCGAGCTTTTTTAACAAATCTATGTAAAACTATGTTACGTGAATACAACCATTAGCTAATAATTAATGTATGTAGGCTGAAGGACCCAACTGTTATTCTGGAGGAATGACAATAAACGAAGTTGTACCTGGATAGTTTAAGCATTCGACTTTCAATCACCGGGTCAAATTCGACATATTTTGCTTTAGGCACTCAGGTAATACTTTTAGTTCTAATTTAAGAAACTGTTCCACAGCCCAGTGCTCAAACACAGTGAACTATGTAACAGAACAAGTGACTTTGACTAGTATAAAGTTTGAATCAGTGACTTATAAACAATTTGGTGTCACGTTAGTCAAGCCATATAACCTGAAAACTAACGAAGTACAATTCAGTTTGATTTTCTTATAATCCATCTCTTAAAGGGGACATTGAATATACTCCAATGCCATTGAATTAATTTCGATTATAATCCCATTACCCTCTCTCTCATCTTTAATCACCATAATTGAAAGTGATGAGAAATATACAAATATGTAAAGTTGTATTGTAAAATGATCCGAAGTACTAGATACGTTGCACTCAGTGAAAATTAAAAATTTTGTGGGTAAACTCCGCTGTTGTTTACAAACCTGTGCTTCTTAACTGCTGTACATTATGCAAAATGGAATTCGATTTCTTCATTCTTCCTCTTGCTTATCTATACCTTCTGGTTTTCTGTCCCCTTCTTCCTAACCTCTTACTTAGTCTGAAGAGACTTTTTTTATATTACCTTTTTGAAGTATACCAACTTGGACAAGTGCACTTCTATTTATAAAGTTTTTACTTTATATTCCCTCCTTTCTCAGTAATCTCTCTTATAGATGTAAACGAATATAAACACTGAAACATTCTTTTGAATAATTTTAGTTTTAGTATATTTCCTGTCTTATAACATCTTTCAGTATTAGTGAATATAAAGAATAATAGATTGACTGCATCTGCTACATTGTGTGTTTTTATATATGATTGAGTATTTAGTCTCAAACTGTTCGTTCGAAGTCATTTAACCAAACGTTTTAAATAGATTTATGTTAATCAGTTAATAACAATAATAATAAACAGATTGTAGAACATTTTGTTAATACAACTTTCTGAAAACTAATTTTTCTGTCCAAGTGGAAACGTAAATCAACTGAAGGACTGTCTATATTCATGTTTTCCATGGCTGTTACTGGGAATATTTCATATGGTATTCAAATTTTACTTACATCTACTGAAAAAAACTACTTAATCCGAGCTACACCGTGGCTTGTTGGAAGTTTCGGTGTAGTTTTGCTAGATATTTTTGTAAGTTCATGTTTTAATTATTAACTATTATGCTTAATTCTTTAATACTTCATAACTATATTCTACGGCTTCAGACTTGATTGTGTTTGTTTTTATCCCGTGAAATTAAACTCCGAAAATTCTCTCAATTCTAGTAAGAAACCATGACCTATAGAGCTCGACCATGTTAGAAGTGACGCAGTTACCAAAATTGATACTGGATGATTGTTTACATTAGCAAAATAATGTCTACTTTAAATGATTCTACTTGATTTATCATCGATAATACTCAGAAAGATTTAACAGAGACGATTGAGAAGCGTCTTTTAAAAAAAATTGAGAGAACTCCTGAAGAAAAATCTAATTGATAATCATACATACAATCAACTCAAACCAAAAGGATCACAATTACCATACTTATACGACCTACCCAAAACTCACAAACCTGACATCCCGATAAGACCGTTATTATCCATGACTAATATACCCTTCCATAAACTCGCCCGCTGGTTTCCAAGGTGATTAGAACCAATCCGAAAGAAACTAGCACCCTATAGTTTAAAAGACAGTTTTGAATCTGCATAAAAGCTTGACAACCTAAATGCTTCTGATAAATTTATGGTCTCATTTGACGTCTCATCGCTCTTCACAAACATCCTCTTGGAAGAAACGGTAGAGATCATATGTGAATATCCTGAACTTCTACCTCTACCGATCCATGAATTTAAACAGCTCCTGTTTTCGTGTACTAAAAACATACAATTTCAATTCAATAATGTCTTTTACCGCCGAATTGATGGAGTAGCCATGGGTAGCCCTTTAGGCCCAATTCTGGTCGACATATTTATGGGAAACCTGTAACAAAAAAAAAGCTTAAGCACGCAATCGATAGTACTACACTCCACTGTAGATATATTGATGACACATTTCTCGTCTGCAACAATCACAAGCACGCCATTAGACTACTCGATCTGTTTAATAAAGCTCACAAGGATATAGAATTTACTATGGAACAGGAAGTTGAAGGCGAATCCCATTTCCTAGATATTAGGATCAGACGAACATCTGATGGCACATTACATAGACACATTCATCGCAAAAATACTCGGAGTGGAGTATATCTCAATTGTTATAGTTTCTGTCCAATGAGTTACAAAAAGGGTATTGTACGAACCCTTTTTGACCGCGCACGTAAAATTTGTTCAAACGAATGCCTGGATGACAAGATTGCTCTCATCACTAATTGTCTACGTGAAAATGCATATCCGGTAAAATTCATCTATAAATATGCAAAAACCAATCCTCGGGCAAAGTATGATAGAGTAGGAAAGAAAACTTGCTTCCTATATTTACGTTTCAAAGGAGACGAAATTGCTGGATTAATTAATCACAGATTAAATTCCGAGTTGAAAGTGGCCTACCCAGCAGCAAAACTGACGACAGTATGGGAAACGAACTGCTCACTCAAACAAACTAAAATCGACAAGTCCTCTTTTCTCAGTAGCTCCAACTGCATTTACCAATCCACATATACGTGCCAAAGCACATACATTCGAAGAACTGAGAGAAGAGTGCATGTTCGCATTTCTGAACATGTTCCAAAGAACTTGAGGTTGCGAGGGACTAAGGCTCTCAACAGTGCAATAGCCCGGCATTTACTTGACACGGGGCATACCATCGACATTCCGCACGCTTTTAAAATTATCAACAGACAAAGAAGTACAACTACTCTCCGTTTCGCTGAAACAATCGTGATAAAAACTCAAGCCGGATTTATATATTCAATAAGAGACATTAATAAACTTATTATTACCCTGGTAGTCCATTTTTTTTGTTATCTGGGTTATTTTATTCATTTATTTATTTTAAAATATTTGTTTTGTGTTATATTCCTCCCCCATTACCTAATTCTTAAACCAACCTTTCATTCACACATTTCCGCCAACTGATCCTTTTAAATTATGTTAACTTTTCAAATTCTATTTAATTATTACGTAACCTATCTTATCACTGTTTTAATTTCATGAATCCTTCATTACCTCCAAAATTATCACACAATTTATGAACTCCACTCAACTATTACACCACCCATCCTGAATTATTTCCTTATTTCTAACACCAATTAACCTCTGACCTGTTCTTGCATATATATATAGTTATTATTGTAAACCTTTGTCATTCCAGTTGTTTACATTCATTTATGTCAATTGTTTCACACTATTTCTTATGTAAAATTCTATTATATATTTGGTTGTAAGCAGCTGACGAGAAACCTCGAAATATTATGAATTCATACTATTCTGCATCAATATTTGTTCTTGCTCTATTTAAAAAGGAAATTCGTTAACTCAACATACCGAACTACTAGATACCGGGATGCTTAAATGAAATCTCCACGGTTGCTAGAATGTTTTCCTGTTTGACCATCAATGATGAAATGGTACGGAATTACACTAGAAATTACAGAAATGATATATGATAGATGAAGAATTTTTATAGCAGCTAAACTTGTAGAAATCTTTCTCAATTGAATATGGGTTGCAGATACTGAATACTGAAAAGTATTTGAAAAGCACACATAATTACAATTCGATTGTATGTTAAAGAGAGACCTGGTGCAATACTGCGTAATTGGTGTTGCGAATCTCGTACTGTTACAAAATTTACAGTATAAAATAAACCAAATAATTGGGATGACATGCTTTAATTCAATGTTAAACATCTTTTCTTAATATTATGGTGTACACTACTTATGCGGACAGACACAAATAATATATAGCAGGAATTGGAAGTAGAATGCTTACCACCAAAAAATGAATTAAAGAGAAGGGGAAGGAAAACGAAGAGCGGTCAGAATAACAACAGGACCGGAAGAATGATGAAGTATGTAAAGGATAACTGAAGGATGATATACATATGATATAGTTGATGTATAATTTTCATATGTTACAAACACATCAAACAGTAAATTGGTTTTCTCTATCATATCTTCATTGATTACAATGTCAGTTGTTTTATTTTTAATCCAGCGTTATGTTTGCTCAACATACTATTCTTTTGTACTAATTCCTTGTGATATTTGTTCAATATGACATTCATAGTTAGTTTGTATTATTTCAGTGTGATATTTGCTTATTATATTAATGATCATTTGTGTAATTCCAATGTAAAATCCGTTTGTATTACCATTATTTCAACTATATATGGTATCCGTTGACTAATCATTGAATGCGAGTAAAATTCGTACATAAATGAATGTATTTGGTTTATTAAGTTGTCGTCATGTTTTGGGAGGTGAATAAGACCTGTATCTGCTATTAGTTTTATCTTCTTCTTTGCTTTCACAAATTTCAATTCTTTCTGTTTCAATTCTATCATGTACATTTACAACCTTGATTAAATTCATGTTATCTCATAGATTTTATGCATTCAAAATACTAATGAATTTGTATATGCGTATATTGATTCAGTTTTTCTTAATCAAAGAAACTAGTGATTATATAAGAATTTTACTTATTTATTTCAGATGTTATGTCAATTCTTCTTTTATCAATTACATCAACACGGAAATAATAATGACAGTAATAATCAGGATCAAAGAAATTTATTAGATACAAACCCCAATCAAACTGAAACAGTTTAAGATTATTCTTTTTCACCATATAATTGTAAAATGTTATTTTCAATGTTTGTTCATTTTTGCTACAGTTTCAAGTATTTTAATCCATAGTTTCGCATTCTTCCTGTAACTTGTTAAATATATATATATATATATATATATATATATATATATATATATATATATATATATATATATTGAGATCATCAATCTCCACAACCCTATACACTGATAAATACATATTTACTAAATAAGAGAAATTTAGCCACTTTGTTTGTTTGTTCGTCTGTTATTTCCTTATATTCACTTTTATTTGTTTGTACAGAATAGTTTGTATTTGATTATCCTACTGGTTTCGTTTTATTTGTTCTTCTCTTTACATTTGATTTCAACTTCGTATTATTTCGATAAATAACTTTGTTACTATTTTTTATTATCATGATTTTAATAATTTTAAAATGTTGACTTATCCATATATGTATTGAATATAAGATACGTGTAATTACTTTTCTTTCTATTTATATATGTGTGCAAGCGCTTGGTGATGTTACTGATGAATATTTGTTATTTAATTATCATTTAACCGGATGATTTGTTTCTATAGTTATAGAGTGAATTAGTATTGTAAATTTGTCATACTTGTCATGAAACCTGGAGACCGTAAATGTAATCCCGTTTAGTATCGTTTTGTGGGTTAACAAGAAGTTTTATACTAGAGTGAAACAGCTGTACAGTAATCCATGTTTTCCAATCAGTCAGTCATTCATCTACAACGTAGAATCAGGCACATGTGTATCGGTCCAAGTTGCCTTACCTCATTAGCACAACAAGATGAACACCGGATTCATAGAAGTAGTGGTGGCAATATATAAGAGAAAGATTGCCTATATAGATATAGTACAAGAAGAAAGAATTAGTTAGTAGAAAGAAAGATATGCAGCAATTTTAATCTCTTAGTTTAAGGGAAGACAGGGAGTGTATACACCAACGCCATTGTGAACGATTATGAGCCATGTCAACAAGAGTCTCCAACCATCGGTTACGATAGTCACGCGGACCCCAACCAAGTAGTCTGCATCTACCAACATGGCTAAGACTAGAAGTTAGTGACTTCAAGCACTGATGCCACGTTTTGCTTTGGCCGCCTCTAACTTTCTTCCAACCATCTCCAATACCGGATAGCATTGCACGTCGTGGTAATCGGTGTTCAGGCATACGTAATACGTGGCCCAACCATCTCAGTCGATGAAGATTCACAACCTCATCAACTGATTTACCATCATTCCCTAATACCCTGCGTCTAACCTCACTATTACTTACCCGGTGATTACACATGTTTTCCAATGGTTTTCCGGATGATGGCACTTTAATTAAAACTTTATTATTTGAAGTATCTTTCCTTTTAAAAATAGTAATCTGAAGATTCCGTTATTTCTGGTAAAAGAAAATATAAATTATTTATGATAGGTTGTTTATGTTTAGGTGTATGTGTGTTCGTTCCACATCACCTTTCCTTTAAATATCATATCTTTATGGCAAACTTATTAGCTTGTTTTTTAATCTATTTGACGTTATCACAGTCCATTTATTACTGGCATCATGTGTAGGGAGATCTACAAAACTCATTGGACAAATATGTTTAGTATCAATCACTTCCCAGGCACTCTCTTATTGTTATTTTTATTATATTTGATGTAGTATCTAATTCACATGTTTAATAACCGAAATGTAAGTAATTAATGCAAAAATCCTGTTTAGTGAAATAAAAGAATTTATTGGAGCTGTTTATTTCTTAACTTGGTTGATAGAGCATTGATTTCTCTTCATGTAACGCTTCAGGATATAAATGAGTATTACAAGAAAGCCATGCATTATATATATGGTAGCTACCAGTCTATCCAATTACATATTTATCACCTGTCTTACAATAATACTCATTTAATAACAGCAAGCTGTGAAATTAGCAATCGTACTTCTGTTTCATTTCAGACAGTTTATTTATATAGTAAGATCAAATCATTTAACTTAACTGATTTCTCATAAGACTTTTATTCACGCATCGAATATTTTAGGTTACTATGTATAATAATCACAGTCAGCTGAGTGTTACAAAGTCTAATCTACGTTTTTAAATTTCTGATTTATCCTGGTCTATAAGTCTTGTTGTACTACGGATTAACATTAAAGACTGTTTGGAGAAATATTACTTAATGTTTGCAAACCAGTATTGTAAATATATCTGAAAGACGTATTTTGGCTTTCTGAATACAAATTTGCATTGTTAGTAAAATAGGGGTAACATGTGGTCGGTAAAGTAGATTACAAGATTTTACCACAAGTATTACACTTTCTTATTTCAGTGGCGTATTTACCATTCATTACTTGATCTTTTTCTGGCACAACCGATTAAATCAGTCCGAATTCTAGTTCCTCAATAATCAATAGAATTCATATTCAATATGTATTTATTGAAATGTGCATGTGATGCATAATGAGTATTTAATACAGATCACTTCATTTGTGTATATGATTTACTAAATCTGTCTTGTATATTTGATTAATAAAAAGAAGTATTCCTATATTTATTTAATTAACGAAATATTGAATAAATACTCGTCACACATCTCGGATTTGGCAATAGTGCAATGTCGTACTTTGTTTGATCATATTAATCGGTTCGATCTGATGGATAGTGATAATGAGTAGTTGCAAATATTCAGCAGAAATTTTCGAATTTAGGTTCTTTATCTAATGGTACTCATATACAACTTCGAGAACCCTATCAATGTTTATGAAATTCTCACATGTATCACTTACCGTAGTCGTAATAATTTTTACAACTAAGTCATGTAAATGATGAATGATCTGTGGCATGAATTTTCTTAGTATACCAATCAATCATCTAACATTGACCAATATCGCACACATGTTTTCAATGTTGTCCGAAGTTTATCAGTCATTTAACACTTGTTAACTTCTTGCAACCTATAATGACATACGTATTCATAATGACTTTTCATCTGAGCGTAGCTTTCAATTGCAATCGACCTACATTTAAAAAGTATTTTGATATTTTTTATTTGTGTAATTGATCATTGATATAACTGATCTTGACACAATATATTTGGAACCTAAATTTGTGTGTTTTATTGTTCACTTGCATTTTTTTGTTCATTTTTAAAAAGTCTCATCTGCATATGTAACTTTCAGCCTTTGATAGGTTTGAGTACAGTTTTGAGGTATATTGCATCCTACAGAGGAGTGTGCAGTGCAACGTATATGAGATAATTTAAAAGAGAGAAGAACAAGAGAATAAAAGTCAGTGGACTACTCAGTAAGCACACAAAATGCACTTAAATTCAATAAGAATGTCAATCCATGACAATAAACAATGACACAAACGTGAAATTAAGACAATCTGATAATCTATCCTAGAATTTGATGGAATAAGGTTTTAAATGCACTACACATATACTTAATATATAAACTAGAATAATGAAAGTGAATATATCCTTCTTTTTTTGCTTATACGATCAATTATTATTTAGGCAGTATTAGACGATCATAGTGCTTGTGAGGTATGGCGTAGTCGTGATCGTTTATATTCTTCATTAGTAGCTATATTTCCAGCTGCATTAATTGGTAAACCAGTTACGGTGACACTGTTAGATGAAACACGTATAACTGGACGTTTATGTTCATGTGATGGATTGATGAATTTACAATTGGATAGTGGTGTTATAATAAGAAAACCAGATTCTGACGGGCTAAACGAGATTATTCTAGTTGAAGTTAGTTTATTTAATTTGATGTGTTTTATGTTTATTTCTGTCCTTCTTGTTTTGTTATAAAAAATAACTTGTTTTGTTTGTTTTTGGAAAGAAAGTACTTTTTGTCAAAAACTAGAAATAAATCTCTATCTTACACATTTGATTAAGTGATAGTAATATATGGGTAACAACTATTTAGTACGTCTAATGATCCCTACAGAGTATTTAAAAACAAGGGGTATTTGAGCGAAGAATTATTTCCAATAACTTCGTCATCGTACTCTACAGCCATAAATCCGTAATTGTTGTATTACAGTCGCCAAAATAAGCCGTACATAAATAAGTGAATTAGATAACGCTATCTTTTATTTATTCATAAGTGTTTGAATATTCCCTCTGTTGATATCAAGGACGTATTATTGATCGGTCTCTTATTGGTACATGTGCTTCCAGAGCAGGTTGCCTCGATATTCCCAGTAAGTTACTGATGTTTTAGTAAAGGGCAGTTGGGGCTGGCAACAAGATCTATAATGTGCATTTTGTCCTGTTCAGGACTCGTCGGCTGAATGTACCTGGGTTGGAGTCCCAGTGTTAAACGTCAACACTAGGATGCTGGTGAATCCAGCTGATGATTCTCAAATAAGACTAAATGTCCATCCTGGATTCCATTGCTAGCCTTTGTTCATTTCTACTTAAACAATGTTGTATGTTAAAATAGTGAACTTTGCACCAGTTGTGCCTTAAATACTTTCAAATCGTCATTCGTTAATTTGAAGGATCACTCAAGAAAGGAGTAGGAAAATTTATTGTAAGGTGTCGAATTAAAATCATAATAAAATAATAAATCGTGTGGTTAAAATGCACAATAAGAAAAATGTTATGTTAACTGAATTGAGATAATTATAATAAAATCGTGTCAATTTATGTAAGTATAAATTGTGTGTTAATACTCAATTCTTTTACATAAAATTAGAGCTGATATAGTTTGCTGATGAAACTTTCACTGTCAATTATTACTATTGAGACAACTCCAGGGGATGTATTTAAATTTATTTATGGATTTTGTCATGTTAAATAGTATCAAAGTGGCATTAAATATGTATTCATTTTTTTTATAGTGACATTGTTATACAGCACTACGTAAACAACAATGTAGTTGTTGTTCATTACTTTGTAATCAGTTTTCAAGAATTGAATCACATGTTACAGACTAAATTCGCTTATCAGAGTTTTGGTGGTTAGGTATCACTGAACATTGTGCACCAGTTTGATCCAAGAATTCCAACCATATCACCATTACTGCAGTATTTAGTTACCAGAGAAATCTGAAACCCATTTTATTACCAGATGATGAAGTCATAGTCACACTAATATGGTATATGAATTATCCTCTCTGACTTAATTTATCGTATATTCATATCACTAAAAGTATTAAATAGAATATAAAATTGAACTTAATCACACTCTGTTTAAAAGTTTTTCACTACTGGTTTATTTCGAAGGATCGGACAAAAACCTCGTTTTATTATTTTATCCTGATGTCAGGACTTAATACTTTACTGTGATATAGTATATTTCGATACTAAACTGGCTGTAAATCATTTACTGAGGGATTTATGTACTAGACGAGTCGTATTGTTTGCTTTATGACTAATGCCACCTATTCAACAGCTCAAACTGAAGTTGATAGAGAGGTTTTCGAACTTGTAACCTACTGGGTAAAAGCCGACTGTTCTAACCCATAAACTAGCGCTCTATACTACACTTAATGAATGGTTAATCACAACTGATTAGAAATACTAAATTTAGCAAGTTATTTTCATTACAAACTAGCACCAGTTGTAGAATCTTTGAAAGCTGAGGAGTATTGTATAGCTAAACTTACCAGTCTAAAACACGGGACTTAATTTTTATGTGAATTTGTGTGTTTACGCCCTATTGATGGGTTCCAGACTAGAATGAAGTAGTCGTCCAATACTCCTTGCTTTCCTAAAACTGACATCATTTCGTGCTAAAAAGATTTTCCACCAAGACGCACAAAAATCCCTATTAAACGATTCAATCTCATAGAAATGTTAACCAGTAAATAAAGTTGAGATCTTAATCTCATACCTATCGAAATCATGATTCTGGAAACTGATATATCATAATTCCTGTATATTAACGAATTATTTCTACAGTTAATAGTGTTTCATGATGCACTGAACATTGTTCTTTATTTTAAGTCAGTCAGCCACTTTAATCTTATTGTTTATTAGTTTTCAAACGAATTGAAGGATTTATTGTGGTGTTTGAATGAACTAATGATACCTTTGTACTTGTTGAATGCTTGATTTCGAATTATAAACACAGTACATTCGTTTGTGGTTATCTATTACTTCTTGATCCGATTACGTTATTTCTGGGATTCTTAGTTCATACTATAATTGAAATACTTCTAATTATCATATTGGCGTCGCGATGGAACAGTTAGATATTCATTCAACTTCTGAAGCTTTTGAGGATTATTTGGAAAGGTTTGAAATCTGGAGCATGACCAAGAAAGATGTTAAAGGTGATAAAATTGTGGCACATTTCCTAACATTCATCGGAAGAGAAGCGTACAGCTTATTAAAAACTTTGGCATATCCAGAAAAACCTATCTCACTTCCTCATGCAACTCTTAAGGAGCTATTATTAAATCATGTAAAGTGCACTAGTTTTGAATGCCGTGAAAGGGCGAAATTTCATAAGATGGTTCGTCGAAATGATCAAAAGGTTAGGGAATTCGTCCTTGAATTGCAGAAATAAGCTTCCGAATGTAATTTCGGTGATCAACTTCATGTGCAACTGAAAGATCGATTAATTTCAGGAATTAACACACCGGGTTTGGAAAGAGAGCTGTTAAGAATGCCGAACTGTTCCTTTCAAGATGCTAGGACTGCGTGTATTAACTACGAGGCAGTGAATGAATTTGATATCCAGTCGATGAAGATTTCTAATACTTTGCTTAGTCGTCATGATGAAATACAATCTCAGGATCAATCAAACTTGCACTCGTTTAACAGTGATTCCTATTCTCGTGTAAATACGAAAGGTGTTTCAACAAGGAATTACAAAGCGAATCACAAATGTGAGATCAAGTTTGATAAATGTTTATTATGTGGAAAGTTTCATTCACGTAATTCATGTGCATTTCGTAATGCTAAATGTTTTATATTTTGTAAGATAGAACACATTCAGTCAGTATGCAAAGCTACTGTCCATTTTGCTTCAAGTAGTATCAAATCTTGTAATTTAGATCCCACTAATTCAGCTGCTCCTAATGATCATTCTTCTTTGTCTACCATTTCGAAAGGTTATGCTCATATTCAAAAGCGATTATATACATCACTTGGTTCATTTCATGACTTTATTGTGGACACATGCAGTATAGAGTCCATTATTCCATTCAAGAACTTGAAATCTTTAGATCCTAACGTTGTGGTACGACCCACTGAAGTATCAATATTGGGGATCACTGGACACAGACTGCCCATACAAGGATGTTGTGAATCGCTAATAGGAGATGATAATTCTTCATATATACCTTGTGAATTTTTAGTTAGCGAAACAGGACTGTCAATACTGGGTTTAAAGAGTTGTCTTTCCTAGTTTCTAAAGAAAACTCTGATGCTTTACTTAAAGATTTGATAGCTACGTGTGCTAAGTGCAGTGAAGGTATGAAAATTCAGCCCATAAAACTTCAAGTACAGGGTGATCTAGTCTTTCTTAAAAGACGAATAATTCCTTATGGTCTTCGAGAAGCAGTACATAAGACTTTAAATGATTCGTGTGCGAAAGGCATAATTGAACCGATTCAGTCTTCAGCATGAGATACTCCTATTGTCACGCCACTGAAGTCGGACGGCAAGACCCCTAGAATATGTGGTAACTATAGATTAACATTGAACTCCCGTTTGTTGAAGCAAACGTGCACGACGGTAGAGGCTGACGATATTCTAAATCGACTTCATGGTTCTAAAGTGTTCTCGAAAGTTGACCTAAAAGATGCTTATCTTCAAATCCCTTTAGATCAATCTTCATCTATTTTGACGACAATGAACACTCCTTTTGGTCTGTTCAAATACAATTTCCTTCCATTTGGTCTAAGTTGTTCTCCAGCCATATTTCAGGAAGTTATGAATAAAGTAGTTAGTGATCTTGAAAGTGTTGAAGTTTATCAAGATGATCTCATTGTTCATGGTTCTGATAAGGTAGTTCATGACGAGAGACGTATTGCTTTATTACGTCGTTTAATTGAGAAGAATATTACAGTGAATCCAAATAAGTGTTCATTTTGTGTATCTAGTTTTGAATGTCTTGGATACCCAGTTGATGGTAATGGTTTTAGACCAGATATGAAACGACTAGCTCCACTGACAAATGCACCGTTTCCAAAAAATCTTACGGAACTACGTTCACTAGTGAGTACTCTTCAATACTATTCCCATTTTATTCCTAATTTTTCTTGTCGTGCAAATTGTTTATTTAATATTATGACATCCAATTCATTCAAATGGGGTGAGGAACAGGAGTCGTGCTTACGAAGTCTACTAAAGTTTCTTCAAAGTGATGCTGTTATTCGAACTTACTCCCCTAGTGTACATTCTGTGCTTATTACTGATGCATCACCTCTGGGTATGGGCGCAGTTTTAGAGCAGGAAGGTAGACCAGTTATTTGTGTTTCATGCAAACTTACTGTTACTGAACAAGGTTATTCACAGACTCAGCGAGAAGCATTAGCTGTGTTTTGGGCTGTTAAAAGACTTCATAAATATTTATTCGGTAAGTAGTTCACTATTGTTACTGATCGTGAAGCTTTAAAGTTTATTTATCATCCTGAAAAATCTTTAGCACGTTCCTTAGCTGCTATGGTTCAACGATGGAGTATTGTTTTGAGTGCATATGACTATACGGTTCAGCACAAAAGTGCCAAACAAATTCAACACGTTGACCACATTTCTCGACAATCATTGCAAGATAGACCTGTTGATACTTCA